ATAAAATGAATTTTGTGAAAAAACAAATAAATTTGCCGATTCAAAGAGCTATATACATTTACATATATTAATCTACATCAAGAAAAAATGTGACGTGATACGTTAAAACAAAGTTTATATTTGCAAATTATAGACCAACATTTGCATGCTTAAGGTAAATTTATACAAAAAACTTTTTTATCGCAGACCTGTGTTATCTATATTAATATTTTTGCAATCCTGCTTCAAAACCTCCATTATTCTTAAAAAAGGATAATGATTAGTGAAAATTATTGGAAGATTTTCATATACAAATTACATTCATGGAAATATTTTTTCAATCAACCATTAAGTAATTATTATAGTAACGCGGATAATATTTTTGCAACCCTGCTTCAGAATTATTAAATATGTATCTATATGAGAACAATTTCTTCTCAAAAACTTTAGTCATTATTTTAGGAATTCTTTGAATTGCATTAAAAAAAAAAGGTTAAGGCAAATGTAATAATAACAAATTATCTAATTTTCCTAATTGCTTCCATTGTCACTAAATAATGATGATGTACATACACGTAAAGTAAATACTTATATAACGTATTTATGTTGATAACTTAAACAAATACAACCAATGTTCAAAGAAATTCAAACATCTACATTAATATTTACCCAGAAGTTATTCCAAAAGTGAGACTATTTTTAGACAAACTTAAAACGCTCTTTGGAACTGTTATTGATTAGATAAAGAGCAATACGAGTTTTAATTACAAATAATAAAAATGCACAAGCAATGTAAACCGTGGTCAAGCGCCACCGATTATTTCTCAAGAATATTTTAAAAAATGTAAACTCAGTCATTATTTTATTTAATAATGGCGTTAAAAACGGAAGGGGAGTTTGCCGCTTCTCCCCTTTTTCCGGTAAAACTCCAAACNGAAAGTAAATAATGAACTGAATAACTTATTTAATAATATTTGCCTTTTATATCTACTGCTAATTTTGGAGACGTAAAAAATGGCAGGGAATCATAAGAGTGACAGAATCCAATCATCCGTTTCACCACCCTAACTTACTTCTGATTCATTTATTAATTACTACTAACCGAGAGGTAGCTTCAAATTCTAAATAGAGTAGAACTTCGATAAGATAAAGACCAAGGGAATCGTAAAATAATTTGAGTTATTGAGGATTTGTTTAAGCTTTACAATTATGGATTTCCAGTGACTTAGTATATGTCCACTAACAAATGCTTTTACATATTTCTACACTGTCTAAATCTAAACCATGTGAACAAGCATTTTTCTAAATTAGGAGGTCCGATGTGCAAATTATTCGCTTAAGTTATAGAGGGTTTTTATTTTAAGTAATAGAGGTTTTGGACTCCGAGGGGAAGGGAACACAAAATTTTATGAATTTATAGAGGTTATTACGTTATAAAGGTTTAAGTTATCAAGCTTCTACTGTATTACAATTAATTTAGTTGTATTTATAATAAATATTCTACCTATTACTGACCTACACAGGGTTTTCTGATGTGTCGATACTGTACTACAGACATAAGACATAGCGTAAGAATAATGTTATTTGACAGGAAAGAAGTACATTTTATAGAACTTCAAAAAAAAAAACAAATTTCCTACATTTAAGAGTAATAACCACAAAAAAATAACACAATGTCCACTATTTAACGAGAATAGATTTTGGCGTATCCACAAAACCTGTATGACGATCAGTGTCAAGTCCGCTCGGCTCCCAGTCGGTCAGCAGTATTAGGCGGGATGCTCCCACGGGACTTCCGATCGTCCCGACACATTTTATAGCGCTTAATCATAACCGCGATGTTATCATCTTTAGCATAATAAAAAGTTATGAAAAATCAAAGTGCCTAACAATGATGCGATCGAGTATCTCCGAACTGGACTTGAAACCCGTCAATGGGGTAGTCATGAGACGAACCAGGAGACGATCTCTCCCCAGGAATAAATTCCGCGGGGTTAAAAAGGACGAACTGAGAAGACAAACGCGTATTTTTCTCGCATCTATGACAGTAAGTTTGTGGAGAAATGTTTATAAACATTTTAGGCATTAAATACCTACATACATACTTAGTAATATTAATATAGACGAACATTGCAAAACATTATGTTTGCATGGCAAGTATCAAAAATTATTTGTACAGAATTTGACTATTACGTAAATGAAGGACGACATTCAAAGGTGCATTTCAATGATTAAAAAATAGACCATGTGCTCTTGGCATCGCTTCCGACTGCTTTTAAGAATCGTATACAATTTTTGGATGATACACCGTTGTTGTTTAGAATCAAATGTTTACAAATTTCTCATGCTCATTTCGTTTTATTGCATCTTCCTATTAAAATGTCGTTGATGATCCTAAGGTATCAAACTATTATTTACGCATCAAATTTGTAAAATATTTCTGATTAGTTTGGTATTTCGAATCTAGGTCATAAATAGTGTTTTGATATTTGCATCACTGCATCACTATTTTAAAAATGTAAAATAGATAGTCCAATTATTGGAAATGTTTGAACCTGAAATCGTCAATTTCCTTTAATAACATTACGATCATATTTGACGTAATTTGCAGACACGGTTTTACGATCCTTGTAAATGATTTTAGTACAATTTTATAGAATTTGTTAAAATTAGATACTTGTATGATAATTTTTTTTTTTGAACACGTAGGTAAAGAAAAACAAATGCATATGAAGCAAGTCGATATTTTTGTTGTTTGTAGGTCGAAAACAACCGTTACTTTTACTAAAATTAGATATTTAAAATTAAGACTACTTTCCAAATCGAGGCTATTTTTAAAACCAAAACTGTTTCATATACGTTTCATTCATCGGGACATTTTTGTATTTCGCAATCCCATTTTAACCGAGAACGAGAAAAACTAGTAAATTAAATTAATAGGCAAAAAGCATTGTATCTATTACCACTTTTCTAGCATGTAAATTGCATATTACCATTACATAGAAGCCTGAGATTTTTTTGAACAGGTTGCGCCTATTAGGATTTACAGAACTTTTGCAGAGATATAAAGAACAAAAAACATTAGAAGTCCTTCGATATGAGCCATCTGATTGTGAGATTATTGCAGAAATGAATATAGGGGGTC